TATTATTATATATATATATATATATATATATATATATATATATATATATATATCGTTTGATCATCTTAAAAATAACAATTTTCAACAAAATGGCGATCATCTAAAGTTGAAGTTACGATTTTTCAGTAAAAATTTCATTCTTTTTTTGATCGTAAATGAAAATAGTTTAAAATATTGCAAAAAGCTATGATCAAACGATAAATAAATTTTTTAAAATGTACTGTTAAAAATTAAAGCGATTAGTTTTTGAGAAATCTTGACAATTAGTTAAAAGAAAGTATTTTCGAACGCGCGTACACACATTCAAATAGTATATATTACAAATTGTATATACATATTTGTATCTATCATTACAATTATACAAATAAAAATACGTATTGCAATTATTGTAAAATAGACATCGGATTAGGAATGACTAATTCATTTGAACAATTAATGCTGTCTTTTAATAAATTCTAAAGAATTTTTTCTCAGTTATGTAAAATCTACTTCATTATGGGTAGCGTTTGATTGCTCACGTTGTCGATTGGCCAATTTAAAATAAAATTTTTTGATTGATTAATCCAGTGGAAAATCTCCAGGCATCGATCGTTGAAAGCAGCTGTCCGATCGCAACGTGGTCAAACGGGACGCTCCCGTTTTCCTTTCTTCTGGAGAATAGATCAAAAAATAGATTCTCATATCATTAGGCAAATTATTAACTCTACGCTATTTGGTTAAATATATTCAATATTATCATACGATGATCATACAATGACAAACGTTTATACTTTATGACATCGTTTCTTAATGCTATATCGTTTTCCTTTGTATATAGTTTCCTGCTTACAATTTGTATCATCTTTAACTTTAAGACTCCTTACTAGTTGCCATGGACATATTGAAATCGTAACGTCATAAGCGAGAAATAACACAGTGAAATTTATTACATATTATTTGCAAAAAGAGATTTGAATAAAACAGTATTTGAGATGGTTTTAAGATACTTGTGAAAATGACTATTATCCTTTCTTTTCTTGACAGTTAATAAATAGCCATAAAAGTTATATGAAATGAAACAGAAAAACCTATTCAAATAGAAAAACACACGGTTTAACAGCTATTGAAAGAAACGAAAAATATGCTTTTACGTATAAAATTCAAAAGTAACTTTAGCTGCCGTTCATTTTTACGAATTTGGTTAGTACAACACGAGTCACATCTGATTATAATGAAATAATGTACAATAAAATATTTTGTTGCCAAAATGTAACTTTTCATACCTGTTAGTTCATCTTTTTATCATAAGAAACTGCAGTAGAATTCTTGCCGCTCACTTCCGTTTCCGCCAATTTCTATAAGTGTCTTAAAATGATTTTTAATGTTGTTTTATCCAATCTCTCTTTATTTGCAAATGAAATGCAAGAAATTTCAATATGTCTTTTGTGTTATGACATTATGTTCAATATGACTGCGATAATTAGTCAGCCTTAACATTCACAACATTTAATTTAACTCAATTTAACAAAACTCAAAGTGGACGAAGAACGTCAGCTTTGATAATACGATTATTTTATTTTTATCGGTATCGCTCTGCTAGAGCAATGATTGTTCCAACATTATTTTCTCAAAACCCACTGGCGGAGTATAAATAAAGTTTTCTAGAATTAAATCTAGAATAGCTCCATCATCCACTGCAAGATAAAATATTATTACATATAAAAAAGTCAATCATCATACATAATATGTTTACCACAAATTTATTCACTAGAACAATAAACACATACCATATAACACTGGATAAATCCGTCCTTTTATACCTATAATTGGAGCATTCATGGATTCTCCATTCAAATAAAAATTCAATTCTATGTGGTCATAAGATACTCCCTGAAAAGTTTTCAATTACTTAAATGAATATTAATTGAATATTAATTGCAATAAAAAGTCTTAAAAAAATCAGAAGCATTTGAGCATATTTTTAATTTTTAAAGTATTTATTAATTTGTTAAAAATATAAGATCAAATGACAATGATTCATACTATGACATCTCCTTCCTGTACAGGATTCTGAATCTTATGGAGTTCTTGCTCATTGTGCCTTATGATACCATCAGAATCAAGCGCCCAACTTTCTGAGTCCTTCCCTCCAACAGCAACATTGAGATTTGTGTCTCTTCTGGCTAATCCAACGCCCCATATACCGTTCTGCTGTACTTTTACTTCAAAATAACTTTTACTCTGAATAAGAGGAGCATTCGTCAAGGCACCTCCGCTTCCACATATTCTTAATCCATTTTTCACTATCACTACTTCATTTCCTATGTAAAATAGCATCAGAATTATAAATGACAAGTTCTCATTTCTAATCTTTATATAAATAATATAAATGTGTAAATTATGCAAAAAAAAATATCTTATGACATCTTATATACAGACTGTCCTATTTTAATTTTTACGTCAAAATATTTCGGAAAATATGGGAGATATAGAAAAATGTTTCAGAAAAATGATTTCGAGGGAGCCATAATTATGATATAGATTCATTTATTTACAGATGGAGTTACTTCGAAATTATTTATGGTCGCCAATTTTTAAATTATATTTTTTGTTTGATGCAATATAATTTGTTTCTTGCAATATAATTCTTCTAATTCTAGATGTAAGATACAATTATTCAAAAGGTAATAGTTTACAGGATATTTTAGATTTTATTCTGGCAAATTCTGACAAAATATAAAATAAACCTCATAAACTATTTATTTTTTGATACTCACATCTTAATAATTTTGTGCACAAAATAAATCAATTAGTGTAAAGAAAACATATAATTACTTTGTTTAAAAATGTACGTTTTTGCATATTGCTAATTGCATAGTTGTTTTAAAGTAATTATATATTCTCTATTTCTACTTCTTCATGCCAAATACCTTATTCTCTGTATAAAAATATTAAGTTATGGCTATAAAAAATGAACCATTTATAAGATATTTTATATTTTATCAGAATATGCCAAAATAAAATATAAATATCTGTAAACTATTGATTTCTTGATAATTGTATACTTATCAATATTCTTTTATTTATATTTATATTATTTATACTTTTATATTTAGAATAACTAGGGAAATCATATTGCGTAAAAAATGTATGTATAAATTTAAAAAATGGCGACTATAAAAAAATCTCGACAGTGGCTCCATTTATAAATGAATCAATAATCATCTGTAAATGAATCATAATCATATTCGCTTCCTCGAAATCTTATAGCTATGTCTGAAAAGTTGATCGATATCTTTCAAATTTTTCGAGATATTTCGATATGAAAGTTAACATGCCTTGCACGTACGCGCGCGCAAAAATTAGACAAATTAATTTTTTTTTAACTAATTGTAAATTAAATTAAAATTAATCGTTTATAAAATTAATTTAGTTACGCGTGTTAAAAATTACACGAGTAAAAAATTAAAATTGTTTTAAGTTAAAAATAACTTTAAAAAACATTATATTAAACTAAATATTGAAATTGAACAAATGTCAAACCACACACACACATCACATCACATCACACACACACACGCGCGCGCACTCACGCACACACGCACTCTCATATTTTTGAATGACAATTTGCGGAAACAAGAACTTTCGAGATTAGAGATTATTTGAAAGATTTTGTAGAGATTAATTTAAGAGACAAATTGTAAAGAACATGATGCAAATTAGAAGATGCACAATATTTGAGTTTTTTCACATTGATGTCACATTAAGCCAACAATCATTGCTGCAAAGATAATTACCCATATGAGTCGTATCCAAGATAATAGGATTTCGTTCTCGCTTCGGTGCTTGAGTCGTAGCGAAGCCGAGGCCATCAAAGCAATTTCTTAGACAACAGAACATCATTCACAAAGATCAGGAATTATTTGCAAGTCGTTTAGAAACACAGCCAATGTGACATTATGAGCAATAAACTATAAGAGAAACGCTGTTTTTTTTCTCTCTCTCTCGAGCAATCCTTCTGTTATCTGTCAAAGTGTATGAACTTCATCTATAAAATGGTAACATATCACAATTGATGCAAACAATGACACTGGATGTTACTTAAAGCTATATGTAAACAGGTGGCATGAAAATGGCTTCCTGTTGGAGAGATCGTGATCAGCGAATTATCTTGACGATCCTTTCTGGCACTTTGTGTTCTATAATTTCTTTTCATACCTAGTCATAGAAATTATTTCAATTGAAATTTTTCAATTTGATATAGTTTACACTTGAGATTAAGATTGGCTTTTAAAAATCTATTTCTATCAAATGAAGAAATTAGATATTTTCACTTAACATTTGTTAGACATCATATTATATAACATAATAATTTTTATCCTATAATTCTTAATGAAGATATCTATATTTTTAATTTTATTTTATGCTTCAAATCTCAATATTTTATTCATTTTTCAAAAAACTCAAAATTTTATAAGATTTGAGATAAATATATAAGATTAAATTTTAATTGTTTTATTAAATTACATATCATCTGATTAAATCATAATTTTTTATCTTGTTATATGTATTATATTTACTTGTGTTTACTTTGTTTATACACAAGTGTTTTTAACTTGTCCTTTTAGATTTATATGACACAGAACTTCTTGATCTTTTTAATTCATCCTTCTGTAATGAATTTTTTGAACTCTTAATCATAGAGTTTTATGTTCCGAATCCTAGAATCTTTACATAAGCTTTAATTGCAAAACCCTAAAAAATTACGCGATTTTCTCTAAATATATCAAACGGCCAGGCTTCAACTTCTTATTTAGGCCAGGTTCAAACTTCTTATTTACCATTACAACGTAGTAATTATTTTTTACTGTTTTGTTACTAGATGAATTTTTTACGTGCCTTCAATCTGTTTTTTCGGATTGACAAATCCTCTTGTCCTTATGAGTTGTATGTATTTTGGATGTATTTTGGAAATGTTAAGTTTACTATCCTCACTTCCAATTTCAATAAAATTAGACTTATCCGACGCGTTTTTGCACGAAACGAAAGAATCTGGCAGGAAAAGGTGTCGCTCTGTCCCACGAATCGAAATATTAATTATTAAAATTGACAACTCTTCAGGTTAGGAAATCTGTTATATTGACGAAATGTAACGATATGAGCATGCTGCGTAGCTACATGCGCATGCTCTGTGGTCACATACGCATGGGAAAAGTGCGAAAATTTAAAATATATGTGTGCAATCACCGACGAAATTATTTAAGACCAACAATCTTAGTCCTGGCCTACAATAGGTGATTTAAGTCTTAAGCCATAAGAAATTGACTAATCATAGTCAATTATTCTTCTATTCTTCGACTATGATTCGTCCATTTCTTATGGCTAAGGCTTAAATCACCTATTGTAGATCGGGATTTACGTCTTTATAGAATGTCCAGAGTAGAGATTCTATAAGAAGAGACTCGCCAATTCGTTACGCAAAATAAGTTATTGAAACATTTGTTTCATTTCATGGAGCACTGATGTGCAATCCATAGCCATCCCCAGCCAATCAGAGTCTACTAACGTCACGTGACGAGTTGGCGAGTCTCTTCTTATAGAGTCTCTAGTTTAGGATGTTGCAGCGAAACTTTGGATTGGCACTATATTTATTTTATTGAGTTGGTAACACTGATGTGAGGTTTCTTTACGTTTCCTACCTCTTTTAATTTGTGATACGTTCGGTACGTTACATGGTAACGATTTCTGATATTCAATAATAAAAATCATATTTAATTAATTAGTATGTCGCATAAATGATGAGAACATTTTGCATAATGTTTTATTAAGTTATTGTATGACTATTTGCTTTGTCATATTTTATTTAATTTTTTTACGATTTCGATGGATTATCACGATTCATTTCACATAGCACTTTGTGTCCACAGAATGACGTGCGCATAATGTAGCAAACTGTGTCTATATGATTTCTCAAAATATTAACCATTACAATATTAACCATTACATTAAAGAAGATACTAAATTTTATCCTTGTAATACTTTTATAATATTTTTAATAATATGTTGATAATTGTTTTGATATTTGTTATATTATGTATAATCTTAAGGTTAAGTGATTTTTGATGTACACATGTGAATTATATAATATAATTACTCTTTTTTTTTTTAATTAAAGAAGACTATGTGATATTTTTAGCGTGTCGTTATTAAAAAATGACGAGTAAAGCGAAAGCGCTCAAGACAAAGGAAGGCGTTCCAGAATATATACCAGAGAGAAAGAGGCCTTTCAAGAGACATGGGCGTTTGTATGCGAAAGCAATTTTCACCGGTTACAAACGTGGATTGCGTAATCAACATGAGCATACTGCCCTGCTTAAGATCGAAGGAGCTGGCACAAAAAAAGATTCTGATTTTTATGTAGGAAAACGATGTGTCTATGTATATAAGGTAAATTTATTTAGCTTATAATGAATTTAATCATTTACTGGATTATACTGGATTAATGCATATTAAATTGCTATTTACGAAATATCTAAATGCAATGCTATGAACTTCTTTGATGATAAAGTTAATATTAGTTTGCTAAATAACATGACTTATCGTTAACAATTTATGTCATTTGAAATATTTATGTACTTTAACATTTCAGTAATTTCATATATAGCAACAGTTTATATGTACTAATCTGATAGTATAGAATGACTGAATTTGCTAATAGATTAAAGAAAACAGTATAATTAAAAATTAATTACTTCAATTTTTTAATTTAATTTTAGGGCATTTTAAATAAATGAGTAGAAATAATTGTTTTAATTTTAATTTAATCTAAGTAACAATCTAAATAATAACTTGAATATTTTTTTTACATATAAAAATATACAAGATATATATTATATTAATATAATAATACATTTTCTTATTTGTATTGATCGTAACATTATTTTTTAATTAAAGGGAAACAAAAAGTCCTAAATCATTTTTTGGAATTAATTTAAATAACAAATGTACAAAAATTGTTATAGACTGTATTTCCAAAATCTTTAATATTTTAATGACAATATTGTCCAACAATTCTGGATTTATCAATTCTAGATATTGGCTTGACTTGTGATTTATCATATTTATATCTATTGCTTATTTTTTCTCTATAAAAAAAAAAGAGAGAAGAATGTGATTATTAGCATATATCAATTCATCTAAAATTACAAACTTGGACAGCATTGCTTTGTGAAATTAAACTAGAACATTATTAGATTATATTAATATAATAATAACATAAATATTAACATAACTATACATTTTTTATTTGGTAAGATTGTTGACCATGAATTACTACACAAAATTGTCTTAGGCTAAAAACAAGACTCTAGTACCTGGAAAGACTACAAAAAAAACAAAAGTTAGGGCCATTTGGGGCAAAGTTACTCGTCCTCATGGCGCAAGTGGATCAGTTCGTGCTAAGTTTAAGAGGAATCTTCCAGCCAAGGCTATAGGGCCATCGTATTCGAATTGTAAG